ACAGGTCAGTCCTTTCCATCAAGAGGAGGTTTTGTCAGACAGCTCCTGGTGGGCTGGAGTGACTGACTCCATCTGACAGGCAGGAACCAAGGCATGTGGACATTAAACCACGTCCTGAGCTCGTGTGAGKCTGTGGCAGACTCAGGCTGAAATTGTACCTTGTCTGCAGGTCCAGCCCCTGCCTCTCCCTCTAGCAACAATTATTTTCATGCTAACTACAGAAGTATTTCATTTCATTTCCAGCAGCAATTCAGAGAGTAGCAGTGCCTCTCSCCTATCCACCCTCAGCCCCTTCCCCAGTCTGCCCGCTCAGTGCTGAGCAGCACAGGATGGATCTCAAGCCCTGCCACTCTCRGAAGCGCTGTGAAAACAGAAGGATRATTGCTGAGAGTCATCTTATGAGACGAATCCATGGCAGCCTACGGCTCAGCTCCTTCCTTTTAACCCCCTGTGCTTTGCCTGTGAGGGCTGTGACATTTCTCAGATATTGGATGCTGCTGCCCTGCCCCATGGTGGGTCAGGCACGGCTGGGAATTCACTGCGCCCTGCAGGAGGTAATAACCCCAGGTAATGAAGCACAGTCAGCTCTGCTTTCCTGCACAAACCTCACGCTCCTGCTGCTGGAAACTCGGCAGATTGTGCGTAAACAYGCTACCTAATGCCCCAAATAATAGCAGCCACAAGATTTCCTTAGGCAGTTCCAACCTACGGTGSTTCAAGTGACCGTGATATCATATTGCTAAATAAATGACATTAACAGATGAATATCACACGGCTGGACAGTCAGCTGCAGCTTGAAGGATTTGGCTGAGATACCTCCGTGCATTTTCCGTGGCTGGAGGGAGGACAGAGGCTGCACAGGAGCACCCAGGGGTGTTGGGTCTGGGTGAAAATATTCTGGGGTAAATGCTGCACCTGGGATGGAGATGGCAGTGGGGACAGCCTGGATGGGGATTATTGGGGTTAGGGGGGTGGGAGAGCAGCAGCCCCATTTCCTCCATCCCCCAGGAGCAGTGTCAGGAGTGCATCACATTCTCAGACATAAACCCCTTGGCTCTCATGGGAGAGAGCCTGACTCCAGCCCACAGTGCAAAATTAACCTTTCCTCTTGGCTGTTGAAAGCTGAGGCTGAGTTAAYCAGCAGCAGACAAGCTGATTGACTGTCACTCGTCTGCTAAATTAATGCAGAAGGGTCACATCAGTGCCACCCCACTGTTTCCCAGAGATGGCATCCTGGCAATGTCCCCAAATGCAGGCACACAACCATAGAGACCAGGAAGGTGCAGCAGCCGCACAGGGCATTTACACTTGAGTGCTGCAATTTGAAAGTGGAAAGGCAAGAGAAAATAGCTACTGCTCTTCCTACTGGTTTTTTGTTAGCTGTTCTGCTCTTGGCATCTTGCTGTACGTGCTTCTGAAGCTGCTAATTTTGCTCCTAGGAAMGCTCCCCTCCCCGTGCCTGTGCTGCAGTGAGCCTGTGCACTGCTCGGTGGAGGCACAGCTTTTACATTAGCATTTTGCATGCTCTCAGTGCTAGGAGAAGCATTCAGGAAAAAAAAAAAAATATCCAGGCAACATCTTGATCTGTGTTTTACAGATGAAGTCAGAGCCATGTATTGAGATTTWAAAAAAAAAAAGCCAAGTGGGTATTTTTTAAAAGATGCCTCTGCCACGGGCTTAAAGAATAGGGAACAACATCCACCCATGATCAAAATGAAGAGTGCTTGACTTATGGCAGATCTCTTCCTGGCTGCAATGAGAGCTTTTTCTTGCATGCTTTTAGCAGCTGAATCCTCACTGTCTTTTTAAGAGGCAGCATCCCTTTCTATTTAAATTGCTCATCCACCATGTCACTCTGTAAGATGTGCTGATGTACGAAGCACAGAAGGACCCCTGAGCAGCATGAAGAGCTCCTCTCTTTGCTGCAGCTGAATGTCAAATTGCTTAGAGAGGGAGAAAGTGCTGGCAAAAATTCAGAGTGGCTCAGGGTTTGTTTCCTGAAGACAGAGGAGCTGAAATTGTTCTGAATGCAGACCTGAGGGTCAGGTATGGGTACAGGTTTGAGTGCCCAGTTTCAGAGCTGCTAAGTTGGAAAAAATTAAAGAAAAKACCTGTGATGAGCACAGGCTAGGCACAGTTTGTGAAGCAGAAATGTGCTCTGACCCAAGGCAAGGAACTCTAACCTTCTTGAAGGAGCTTTGCCTTCAGAAAACACATTAGCACGGCAAAGAGCCAGGCCAGGACATGCCATACACCACAGCCCTGTGGCTGCCACCAGCCCATCCTGGGCTCAGGACTCAGCCCTGACACAGGGCTCTTGGTGCTGACCCTGACAGCAGCTCTGTGAGTGTACAGAGCCCTTAGTGACCTGAGCAGGAGGTCAAAGGATGTCATTCTGCACCTGAGATTTGGGATGCAGCCATGTTGAGAAACCTTTAAAGGTGMATGATCTGGAAAATAATTTCACCAGTGTTCTCCTTGCTGGCCAGATGTATTTCTGCAGAAGGTGCCCTTCCTGCCTTGTGTTTGTTCACTGCTCCTTAAGGCTCTTCATGGACTTTTCTCTGTATGTCTTCCTTGATGCTCTGCATGCTTTGAGAAATCCTTCTGGACTACATTTCAGAGGTATAAGGCCTTATCCTGCAAGGGGAATCTAAGTTCAGCCCCTGGAGCTTGTCCTTTTGACGATTCTGTTATCCCATCAGGTTCCTCAGGCTCCCGAAAAGCGAAGTGGAAAATTAATCACTGGCATCAAATTAAATATTCTAAAGGAGGTGCAAGCGGCAAAGCTTCTTGAAAAACGTGGTCTGTAATTAAAGATCGCAAGGTACAATGGGTCAATTTTAGCTAGAGCAGCTGAGTGGCCAAGTGGGAACTGTAAATTGCACCATCCCCATCCCTGGGCAATGCAAATGAACGCTTTTGGTGTTGGTGTATCTCTAGCAGATTATTAGAGCTCCATGAACTGAAGCAAAAGAGTTAAAGTGAATCATTAAAGTGTTTTCTCCCTCATCTGAGCCCAGCTCYGCTCTTTCTTGTTATTTAGTATTTATTGCAGTTTTATCATTATTATTTTATTTGCMGTGGCATGTTTTGCGCCGGGGCGCCGGGGATGTCAGCTCGATTTTTAGCCTTTTCCCAGCACATTCATTAAGCTGTGACAGGTGATTTTCCCTCCTGTTTGGGCTGTGCCCTTGCACGCCTCACCCTGGGAGCTGAGAGCGTCGTTGTCATTCAGGGGATGGCCCCACAGCCGCTCCTCGTGGGTTTGCTCTCACATCCTCTGCCTCAGCGGGACTGTGTGTGCCAAAGCATCTTCTGTCTTTCAGAATAACTTTTAATATGCACTGATTATGGTGGAGGAGGTGTGGGATCTGTTCTGGCAGTGCTGGTGATGTTCCATGGCTCCTGAGGGAATCCTGGCTGGGAAGTCCAGGAAAGGTCATCCCTTAACTTGGCACTTGCCAAAGGGAAAAGAAGCTGCACACCAAGGATTGTGGTTCATGGTGGGACCTGATGATCTCTTTCAGCCTTAATGATTTTAGGATTCTGTGGCGCAAGAAGTTTTATTTTTGCCAAGGGTCTGCATGTGAGGGGACCTGTAATTTTGATCCTTTCACAGAAGCAGTGTGCCCGGGGTTCAGAAACACAAAAGTGACAAAACACAGATCTTTYAGCACCAGCTACCCAGGGCTTGGTAACAGGAGCTCTGTCGAGGGCTTGGATGACATCATGTACTGCTCAGTAGCAGCTTTACATTAATTTTCATCAGTTTTGTTTGGTGTGCTGCTGCCTGTCTCCAGCACTCGTTTTTTGCAGGAGATATGGCACGAAGTGTCTCTCATGTGCTTGGGGGAGCAAGTTAGTCAGGCAACTTGTGGGGTAGATTTTGAAAGTTGCTCATATTTGTCCCCAAATAAAGTCACACTGAATGTTATGGGAGTTTTTTCATTGGTTTCAGAAGAAATTGAGCTCACTTTTGCTGTCCTTGGGAACCAAGTGAGTCCCACCCTGACCCATGGGAAGAACTTGCTTCTCAAACTCACTGACTSACATGATGTGTGAAATGTCCATGGTGCACCTCACTTGTGGGGTTTTGGTGCCATAGATGATGCACCTTCACAGTGTCACAGCTCCAGGGCTTTACTCCTGTTTCCTCATCAAATGAAAAAGACTGGATTTATTGATTTGTTTGTTTGTTTGTTTGTTTTTAAGAAAGGGTGGCTACCTCCACATTTTTATTTCATGTGGTGTGACTGACATTTCAGAGAATCGGAGAACGTTTTGGGTTCATCCAGTTCCTCTCCCTGCCATGGGCAGGGACACCTTCCCACGGTTTTGGTTACTCAAAGCTCCATCCAGCCTGGCCTTGCACATGCCCAGAGGTTGGGCATTGACAATTCTGAGCAACCTGTGACARTCCCTTTTCACCTTCCAAGTAAAGAATTTCTATGTAATATAGAAATATGTAATCTAAATTTCTCTTTTCTTTTTTTTTTCATTTTGAATCCATGACTCCTTGTTCTATCACTGTGATATTATTTCCTCAAAATACTTGTTTAGTTTATACTTAGTATAGATTAACTACCAAAATAGCTCTAGGAYAGATCTGGGATCAGAAGGGTCAGGCCTGAGTTTGGGCAGACTCTGTAACTCATCGATATCTGGAAAAAGCAAAGCTGGTCCGTAGGGCTGAGTTCATTTAATGCCTTTGTATCCAAGTCAAAATTTTCACTTTCTCTTCTCTTTCACTCTTCAGTTCCAGGGCCAGGAGCTGAGTGATCTGTCCTCTTGCCCTGGGCAGTCAATAGGCAGTGTCAGAGTCCTGCCTATGGATTTCATTCCTCTCGTGGCAAAAGGGGGTCATTGTACCCAGATCCACGGTTCAGACCACGCTTTCAAGRCAGCATCAGCACAGCCTGAATTGGYCTGCAAAGTTATGTTTTGCATCAAACCGTTGAGTTATTAATGCATTGGGATTTGTGAATCTCTCCTTGCAGTCAACAAATACGTGGTCCGGGTTTTTACTGGTGAACTCAGCGGCAGCGGAACAGATGCGGACGTCTTCATTAATATCTTCGGTGAGAAAGGAGACACAGGTATTCAAATGCAAATCATCTCCTGAAATATTTCCTCCTGCTCTGCAGGCCTGTGATCTGAACAACACACACACACATACACACACACACACACACACAGAGGCAATCTGGCAAAGGCAGAATAATTTGGCTGAGTGAAAGGCACAACAAATGGTGGTGTTAGCTCTGGGGGCCCTCACACCCACAGCCCCTGGAAGATGCATCTGCAATGCAGCAGCTGTGGCTGGGTGTGGGCATGGCTCAATTTACCTGTCACTAAAACAACCAGACTCTGGGAAAATGCAGCATAAGCCACCCCAGGAGAAAGCAGTGGAGTGAGTGCCAGACCACTGAAGGGTCCAACAGTAATATTTATTAACAGTGAATGYAGTGAGAGCTGTGTGTCTCATTTTCTGGGTCCCTGGATGGATAATGACATCCCTTCTCTGTGACAAAGTGATGCCTGAGCCTCCTTGGCCACTTGTGAAAATTATCTGAGCAAGGTTTATATTAGTTGAGCTTAAAAGGCATTTTTTAGAGTTATTTGATCATTTTAAAATGTCGATTAGGCTGCAACAGTGGTCTGGAAAAACTTTAATAAAAAATAAAATTAATTGAATAATATTAAAAGATGTTCCCAAACCAAGTTCGTGGGCCATGGACAGAAGTGGGTGGAGATTCCTGGAGATTCTTGGAACCAGGGAACTTCTACACTGCACCTATCCTGTCAAATTCAAGAAATAATGATGTCAAGTGTCCTTGAAAATATTACAAAACCTGGTGGATAGGGCTCACCCTTGATTAATCCTCCAGAGCTTTACAGGGGGATCCATCTGATCTCACTGCAGACATCCCAAAGGAGGAGTCTGAGCCTCAGCTGGGTGTCTGGGTGCTCTGCCACATCCACACAGAGAAATAACAGCCCTGGAGAGTGATTCATCCCCTCTGAGGGATGGAGGGATGGAGAGTCAGAGGGAGGAGCTCTCACTGACCTCTGACTCTGCCCTGGTGCCCTGGGTGGGTTTCATCCCACTCACAGCACCGGCTTCAACCAAGCACAGCTTTAACACTTCTCATAAAGGCAAACCCCTGCGAGATCAGGGAAAAGCCAACAGCCCTGGCCGGGTCCTAATTTGAAAATAAATCCTTCCTCTCGGATACAGCAAAGAGTTCTGTGTCCTGAAATGTCAGAATCTGCAGCTTGTGACCAAAGCCTTTCTTGAACAGTTTGGAGATTTTCAAAGGCAGTGAAAATAAAAGGGAAATGTGGTGGTATAAAAAAAAAGAAAAAATTTAGGAGCCATCTGGATATATATTTCTGAAAGCTCTGAGAGCTGTAAGTAACTGTGACATTAGAATGGAAATCCTGGTCTTTTGTGTGCTTGAGAAAAGGTACCTTTTTATTAGAATAGAAAGTCCTCTGCCTTTGCCTTGAATCCTGGTTGCAGAGARCTGATATCTAGGGAATATTTGATTCATCCAGTGGTGACATTCCTAAATATTCCTTCACTTACAAACACACGTGTCAGTAACCCTGTCCTCCTTGAAGTAATTCTTTATTATTTYGTTGTTTATTTATTCTTTCAATTGTTTTTTTTTACTTCCCTCCCCCACCCACTTCAGGTATGAGGAAACTAGACAATGACAACGACAACTTTGAGAAAGGAGCAGAAGACAAGTTCACACTCGATGCTCCAAACCTGGGAAAACTGAGGAAAATTAATATAGGGCACAATAACAAGGGTGGCTCTGCTGGCTGGTTCCTTGAAAAGGTGAGTTGGTCCTGAGACATTSAACATCAGCGTGGCATGGGCTCAAAATATCTCACCCTCTTGCTGGTCTGGTACCAAGAGATGCAAGGATAATTGCTGGGGGTATAGGTTACTGAGAAGGACACAAATCATTTCATCCTGTTGACTTAGCTTGTCACCATAACCATAAAAATCTCAAATTCCAAGAGTTGTCTGCTGGCTCTGCTCACACTGAAAATTTGCAGACTCATGGCTTGCCCAAATTTAAGTGATTTATGCTTGGCACATCAAAAGAGATGTACCCTCCACAAAGACCCTTTTCTTCCACTTTCCTGTTCATTTTGGTCTCCTGCTATGGGGCAGGAAGATATCACAGCTTTTAGTGTAATGGTTGAAGGGATATTTTAGAGGGAGAACTCTCTTCCCTCGAGTCTCATTTTCTTTCCTCTGCTGATGGATTTTCACACAGCTGGCTTTAATCCACCAAAGACCTGACCTCACGTTTGTAAATCCTAGATCACAGGGTAGTTTGATGTGTTGCAAATGCAAATATTAGCACATGCTTCTTCACCACCACCACCACCACCACCACACAATGCAGGAAAAGTTAAGATTTTCCTGGCTGTCCATGAAAAATGTGGAAAAGAAAACAGAGTTGTTGTGATCAATGTAACAAACAGTGGTGGGAAAAAAAGCACAGAACCTCATTCTCACATCACAAGTGCTGTGCAAGATTTTTGATGAGGCTGGGAAGATTGCCCATGTCCCAAAACTTCGACTAGTGACTACTACAGTCAACACACCAGCCCTTGTTCTGCCACAAGCCTCCAAGATGTTTGTGATTAAATAAAAAGCAACTTTGGCCTCTCAGATTCAGATGGAAGGTTGGAGAACTGAGCTGAAATAGCTCAGTTATTGTCTGCTGGTTTTAGATGTTTTTTCTGTTATTTGCTCCAATACTTGGACACTAKAGTGCTGTCACTCCAGGATGAACATGTTCTCCTGTTTCTTGTGTTTTCAGTGTGGCCAATGCTCAGAGATGGTTTTCCACCTCTAAATAKAAGAATAAAAGCCTTTAAAAGGAACCTAAAGAGGATCAGCTGGTAGAGAGGCATTGGAGTGTTGATATTTCTCCCAAAGCTCATCTATTTTAGACTCTAACACTCCAGCAGAGCTCTGCTCTCTCATGCTGACAATCCCAGCCCTGGCAGATGCCTCTGTCTCTGTCTGTGGAGGTACAACAGGATTCAGGAGTGCTACAGGCAACAGCACTGTGGGATGAGTGACAGGAGGGGAAGCTCTRTTTCCCAAAGAATGGTTTCATAAATTTATCAGAAAGGACAGATTTCAGATGCTCCCTCATTGCTAAGAAAAGTGTCAGGGGCTTTCTATCCATAAGAGTGATTTTTTTCCCCTCCTTTGAGACATAACCCACACAGAGGAGTAGAGATTTTGATTCCTTCCCTCTGACCAAAATTCTTCAATGCTCTTCTCTGCTGGTTTAAAATACTGCAGTAAATCCATGGCAGAGTCCTGGAGTCCAGCTGAAGGTATTGGTAAGAAACACCTCAGCAAGGGGTGCAAAAAACTACACTCTTAATATGAAAGGAGAATATTGTTCCCCAGCTTGTTTCAACACAATATCACAGAATCCTGGAGCAGTTTGGTTTGACAGGGACCTTAAAGATCATGGGCAGGGACACCTTCCACTGTCCCAGGCTGCTCCCAGCCCCAATGTCCAGCCTGGCCTTGGACACTGCCAGGGATCCAGGGGCAGCCACAGCTGCCAGGGCCTTACAACTCTCAAAGCCAAAAATTTCTTTCCAACAGCCCATCCATCCCTGCCCTCTGGCACTGCCAAGCCATTCCCTGTGTCCTGTCCCTGCAGCCCTTGTCCCCAGTCCCTGTGCAGCTCTCCTGGAGCCCCTTTAGGCCCCAAAAGGGGCTCTGAGCTCTCCCTGGAGCCTTCTCTTGTCCAGGTGAGCACCCCCAGCTCTCCCAGCCTGGCTCCAGAGCAGAGGGGCTCCAGCCCTGGCAGCATCTCCGTGSCCTCCTCTGGCCTGGCTGCAGCAGCTCCAGGTCCCTGTGCTGTTGTTGCCCAGGGCTGGGGCAGCTCTGCAGGTGGGGTCTCACCTGAGCGGGGCAGAGGGGCACAATCCCCCCCTCCCCTGCTGCCCACGCTGGGGCTCAGCCCAGGGCTCGGGGGGTTCAGGGCYGGGGCAGGTTCTGCTCTCACCYCCAGCACCTTCTCCCTTCTCCCAGGGCTGCTCTGTCCATTCTCTGTCCGTTCTCTGTCCATTCTCTGTCCAGTCTGTCCTCATGCTTTGGATTGCCCCAACCCAGGTGCAGAACCTTGCACTTTGCCCCCTAAAACTCAATTATAATTTCACAGCCTCACCTCACTGGTGGTCCAAGGGCCTGATCGGGCCTAATCCTTCCAAATCAGAAACTGTTTACTCCCACAGGGTTTTAAAGGCAGCCTTTACAAGGGCTCCACCCTGGAGTAAGTGGCTGGAWTAAAATTATGTTACTGAGTCACACGAGCTCATCTGATGGTCTGGATTTGCCCTGAAAYTCCTAGGCATTATTTTATGACCAGGCTCTAAAGCAGAGAGAGAGAACCCAKCCTGTTCCCAAAGCAGAACAAAGAGCTGTCGTTGAGCTGATGGAGAGGAGCAGCCAGCGAGGAGGCTCTGGAGAGCAGGGAGACAGGACAGCCAGCTGGTCTGGATTGCAGAGACATCTGGTCCTGCACACCCCGAGAGATGCAGAGTGGGTTCACTGGATGAAACAGAAAGAAAAGAAAAAAAAAGCTGTGTTTTTACTCACTGATTGTCTGAAATGCTATCAGTACTAATTAAGGGAGTGGAGAGGGATCTGCTTGAGGACTGGCTATGTTAAATACCAAGTGAGAGTGCATTAAGCTCCTGCTCTTCTGTCACCCCCTTGAGTAAAACCATTGCTTTTCCCATGCTGTTTTTCAACTTGGTGTTTCTTTTCTACCAGGTAATCATTGAGGACATTGGCAATAAATGTGTGTACCAGTTCCCCGTGGGACGCTGGTTTGCTTTAGATGAAGATGACGGGAAAATACAGAGGGACATCCTCGTTGGGGGCTCAGAAGCCACAGGTAAAATCATGGTCTGAATCCGTGGTGGGAAGTGGGAARTGAAGGCTGTTAGCTGTGTTTCCTTTAGAAGATTGAATGCCTTATGTTCAGGGAGACCTGCAGTGAAGCATCTGCTGGTGACAGGCTGTTCTGTGTGAGGGTTCTGAACTGCCAGCACATTTCTCACCTCTGTGTGTCTCACCTGAGAAGCTGAGAAGGACCTACACTCTGCTTCATCACCTGGAGCACCTGTACGAGGGGCTGGTGGGCAGGGGATGGAAGATCCAGCTTGTGCTTCAGAAATTCCTGCATTCAGAAAGCGGTTTTCTRTTTTCCAAAGTCACCAGTGTGCCACAAAACACTGAGTATTGTACTTCAGGTTCTTGTCTGGGGAGCAAAGCATCTTTTTACAAAACAAGAAATGCAGTGCTGAGCCCTAAATCAGTCCTTTTTTTATTATCCAGCATGGTTAAAGCAAAGACAGCCAAGTTTATGTCTATGTTAAAAGAAACCTAGATGTAAAGCCAATAAAAGACTTTATCTCGAGGCAGAAGATTATTTGGGTAGTGTTCTGCCTGTATTTATTCATTGGCATGAGGGAAACACTTCGATGATGCATGTAAGACCTGATCTTTATTTCCTTGCATGGTCTTCAGCATCTGCAGTCCTCATATTCCCCGCAGCCTGTGCATGAGCAAAGTGGTCTGGGTGCAGATCCCTGACTGCAGGATGCTTGTTAGGAAAAATTATGGGAAGAAAACTGAAAGAAATGTAATTCAATCCCTGAAAGCTTCCTTTATCTTTTACACATTCATGACTGTGTATTTTATTTTCCTGCTCTCAGGAGTTTTGTTGAAGATATATCCACAGTAAGGCGTGCTGGAGTACAATTTTTAATGTAAATTTCAAAGGGAGGATTATTTATAAGAGAGTGAGTTTTGATGTTTTGCTTCATTCCAAGTCCCTATTGAAATTTCTGTCTGATCTAATCAAAAAACTTGGCTTAAGCCTCATCTATTTTCTGCATGCTCCCTAAAACACGGTTACACAGTTTAGGCGTGTGTTTGATGCCACGAGACAGGTTTAAGATATGCTTTCCTGAGAGGTAAGACTTGTGGGAAGAAATGTTTTCTTTCTTAGACCAACAGTTGGAGATAGGGAGAAAAACCCCAAGGACATTTTTATGTAAATAAGGTTTCTTTTCAGAAATATTTTTCTTTCTTCCAGCTGGGTTTCTCAGCACAAACCTTGTTTTGCTGARATCTGTGGGTTCTCACGGTGGCTGTGAATGTCCTGATGGTTTCAGCAGCMTTGTAGRCTAAAAAAACCAAATAAAYCCCAAKTTTTCAGAGTTTTGTGATGCTGCAGATCTTGCCACCACTGTTCAAAGCAACACTTCTTCATCCTCTCAGCATTCTCTGACACATTTGGTGCTTGGAGTCTCTCAAAATCAAACAACTTAGTTGCCAATTCATTTTTTTTTTTTGCCTTTATTCACTTAATCAGTGCCAAATAGTGAATAAAAAAAAAGAAAACTTTTTTTCCCCCACTGGGCCATGGGCAGGGTGTTTGCCACCCCAAGCCTGTTTCTCTTGGACAGTCTAAAGGCAAGTGTGCATTTCTCAGAGTTACGTGTGGGACAAAAAAAATGAAGTATTGTGCAGCGTGTAAGTCAGAAGATAAATAAACCGGTGAGAAATCAATAGARCCCGACATAAATCCAATTAAAATCATAACTCTCAGACTCCTCTCCTCCCTTCTTTTCTCCCTAACCAAATTTCTGGTTCCTCCAGGCATTGTGTACAACGTGGCTGTAGTGACGGGGGATATCAGAGGAGCCGGCACCAACTCCAAGATCCACGTGATCCTCCACGGCTCCAAAGGCTTAAAGAAYAGCGGGAAGATTTTCCTGGAAGGGGGTGAATTTGAGCGTGCCAGGACGGATCTCTTCAACGTGGAGATYGCTGCCCTGCTCAGCCCTCTCAGCAGGGTCACCATCGGGCACGACAACTGTGGYGTCAGCTCTGGCTGGTTTTGTGAGAAGGTGAGACTAAATTATCCTAAACCCATGGAATCRTTTAGGTTGGAACAGACCTCTGAGGKCGTGGAGTCCTWCYCTTAGGCCAGCACTGCCAAGATTTGAGTCTGCAGGCAGCTGTCAGGCCTGCTCCCCATTCAAAACCTGACCTCGCCAGCCCAATACGGTTTGAAATAAATAAATAAACCTGCTTTTGTCTGGAAGGCAATATCCCCGGTTTAACAAGTCAATATTATACATCACGCACGGGAGCAGCTGATTGCCTCAAAGGCACRTCGGATGCATAAGTCAATCACTCGCTAATTGGGTTGATTGCCCCTCTGCAGTCACAAAGATAGAGATTATTGTTTGCTCAGCTCCAAAAGCACCTTCAGATATTCGCCCAAGGGGCCGGGCAGAAACACAGCCTTGGATTGTGCTGAGMTTTTCAAAGTTATCATCTACGCTCAGACTTCCCTCAAGTTTCTAGATGCTGCTCTGGAGGCTCAGAAATAATTTTTAAAAAACCCCAAAACCCAGTAGAAAGTGGCTGACCACAGCTGTTACTGGGAGGCGGTGGAGAAATATGTGACGCTGTTACCCAAACAACTTAAATTTCCCTGAGAGAAATTCTGTGCAGCRGCGGGGGAAGATGTTGGGAAATTCTTCCACGTTTAGCACATAGCATGTGATCCCCACATCCGTGGGTAATGTTTGGTTTTGTACCATGCAGTGCTTAGTACACATGCCAGAGATTAATGTGGCCTYGTGTTAACTCCCTACATCTGTGACTAATAAGTTCTCTGCCAGCTGACGCTTCCTTGTTTGCTTCTGCCAGTGATTAATATGTGCTGGTRGATATCTTAGTTTTGGGAACAGAGATGGAGTGCCAGAGCAAAGAATGATAAAGAGGAGTGCATCATAACCTGAGCACGTGTTTGAGATTCTCTCAAGGAAACAAGATTCACCAGAAGATCCAGGGCCTTRAGAAGGAATTTTGAGGAATGGGATTTTCCCAAATTACCCTGAAGACCCCCAGATATCCAAATAACTCATGGTAGTAATTACCCTAATAATAAGCATATATTCAGGACATGCAATGGATATGTGATAAAATGTGACAAATATGTGTTAGTTCCATGGCTATAACCTGGTCTGTTTGGTTGCTGTTCATGCTTTGAGGTGAAATTCCTATGCACCCAGCATTGTTAGCAAAGTGATTGCAGCTTTCCATCCCAGCAAACTGGAGAGAGAGTTCATTTCCTGGTTTTTGGTGGCAACATTAGGTCATGCACAAGGCTAGCAGCAGGAAAGGGGAGGGTGGGGAGGAAGGCAGATGCCTACCCTGAAGCTATGAGGAAATTCAGCTTTCCTGGCAAGCAAAATCAGCTTCATCAGGGTGTGTTTGAAGGGTTTTGTGCCCTGTGCTTTCTGCAGGGCTGTGCTGTGTGCTGCTCACTGACACAACGCTGACAGCAGCAGCCACCCTGCCTGTCCCCATCCCCTTCCCCTCCTGGTGTTTCACCTCTTCTTTTTGACCCATTGTGATGTACTGCTGCAAAAATGGGAATAACAGGACAGATAAGTCGTAGCTCTGCTCCAAACTGGGATTTGTGCAACCAGTCCAGTTCTTGCTGGTCCACAAAAGCTGATTTTGAGAGCAGAGCTGAGATCATCAGCTCTGTCTTTGCTCTGGTTGTTTAAATTTTCGGTGTCAAGGACTTGAGGGATGCGTAGCAGAATATTTGGGCTCACTTTGTCAACCTCTTTTCCCAGGTGGTGGTTTACTGCCCCTTCACTGGCATCGAGCAAACCTTCCCGTGTGGRAAGTGGCTGGATGAAGACGAAGGGGACGGTCTCATCGAGCGGGAACTCTACGAAATGCTCTCCCTGCGCCAGAAAAGGCTGAAAAGTAGGTGCAAATGTCCAGAAGCTSCTGTGAGCAGCACCCCTGCTCCCATAACCAACACCCCCGAGTGTCACCTGAGTGTAAACACAGGGTCGTGGGCAGGCTCAAGTGGATTCTGTCACCACATCATGGAATGGTTTGGATGGGCAGGGTCATATAAAGGTCATTAATTCCCACCCCTGCCATGGCAGGAACACCTCTCACTGTCCCAGGCTGCTCCCAGCCCCAATGTCCAGCCTGGCCTTGGACACTGCCAGGGATCCAAGGGCAGCCACAGCTGCTCTGGGCACCCTGTGCCAGGGCCTCCCCACCCTCCCAGACAGCAATTCCTTCCCAATATCCCATCCATCCCTGCCCTCTGGCACTGCCAAGCCATTCCCTGTGTCCTGTCCCTGCAGCCCTTGTCCCCAGTCCCTGTCCAGCTCTCCTGAGCCCCTTTAGGCCCCAAAAGGGGCTCTGAGCTCTCCCTGGAGCCTTCTCGTGTCCAGGTGAGCACCCCCAGCTCTCCCAGCCTGGCTCCAGAGCAGAGGGGCTCCAGCCCTGGCAGCATCTCCGTGCCCTCCTCTGGCTGATCCCAAGTAGCTCAACATCCTTTGGATGTTGGGGCATGAGTTTCAGCCTTGAACATGAAGGTATGAAGTTAAACTCCTGCAATATTTTGAAGAATTATACTCATTTTCTTAAGGGAAGAAATTATACTTCTCAGTCTTCCTAGGTTCACAGGGCATAGGGCTGCATCAGTCATCATCTCAGCTTTGCAGGCAAGCCAGGCTCTGTTCCATATCACTAAAGCAGCAAAGCTTTCTTATTCTAGATAGAAACTTAAATCTAAAACCGAAATATAATTAGGAGACCAACACGGTGGGGGGGAGGGGGAGAAAGAAATGTGAAGAAAATCACAATTTCCTTGACTTCACCTATTTTTATTCCTGATCTTAGGGAAATAAGAGGTCTTAGCCCTGTCCAGCTGTGGAGCCTGCTCTCTAGAGGGAGGCAATGTCACGTGTTTGCTTCAAGGGGGGTTGTCCATCCTTCCATCCTTCCACACACACTCCAACTCCAGCTCCAGCCTGGTTGTGCCCCAAACACATCGCTGCTGCCTGGCCTGGGCCTGTGCCAACAGAATATTTTAATTGTGATAATGGACGTGGTTTATTCCGGCAGTTCATTTAAATGAGCTTTATCCCAATGTTGGTCGGTGCTGTGACCACACCGCACCTCCGAGGGCCCCGTTCAGCTGAAGCATCTTCAGCCTTTAACCCCCCCTTTATCRGCCCTGATTGTTACTGACAGGATAACTCCCTCACTGCTGCAGCACAGGAGATGGACAGAGAGCATTAGCCTTGAGAAATCTGTGACCTTTTGCTGCCAGATTACACAAACCCAGAGTCAGAGTTAGAAAAGACCTGTTCTGTCACCTCGCCTATGTCCCCGTGCATGCAGGACTGTCCCTTTCTGTGGGGGTGATCAAAGCTGGGTGGGACCTCACTTGGGGTATCCATGGTGAAACATTCCCAGTGCTGCCTGCAGGAGCTGCTCCTGCAGCAGATTGCAGCTCCATATGTAGCTTGTATTTGTTCTGGTTTTTTTGTTTTTTGTTTTAATTCTGTCCTCTCCCTATCTCGAATGTTATCCTGGAAACTGTTGTTCCAGGTCTAGTCCTCCCTGGTGTTTGTGCCCTGGGGAATATTTGCCCTGGCTCTGAGAATCCCCAAACTGCCTGGGTGTGATGTGAAAGGATGAGAACGTGGGGGATGAGCCCAGCCAGCCCTGGGAGGACGAGGATGGGTGTTTGGGGAAATGCCTGGCCTTCTCCTGCAGCTGCAGCCCCAGCTCACCCACATCTCCCCCTGTGTGGTTCCTCCCTGACAGCCCTCTATCAGCATTTTATCCTGCTACAAGGTCCCGTTTCCCCCTCCATGTGTGTTTCACTCCTGCTCTCCTTCAGAAGAGGTCAGGAAGGCCAAACCAGACTCAGGAGAGCAGTCTGTGCTGTCTGAATTGCACTTGCAGCTTTCCCCAGGGAGCCAGGCTGCTCCRTCACCTGCCATTCACAGACTTTGCTTTGCTTCATTTCTGCTCATCTACAACTTGCTGGTTCTTCTCAGAGAGGAGTGGTCATAAACATTTTGTATATTATTAACACAGGGACAAAGCTTTTTCTGGGAGAGTTCCCTCTTCCCCTCATTTTTTTTTTCCCAGTAGCTCTTGCCTCTTTTTTATACACTCAAACACTGAGCAGATCAGTAAAAACCTAATTTATATGCATGTCATCATATTTTTATATTCCATTCTGGGCTCTGAAGGTCAAGCCGTGCTGGTGTGGGCTGGGGCATACGGAAGGGGTTAGCAACTCTCTCATTAAGATTTGTTAATAATTCAGCTGATGTCTGAGTGAGGAAAGAAGGCCGTTCCCTCTCCTGTAGGTGCTGCAAGGCCTGCAGGAGCGACACACATTATCATCAATAAAGAATGCAGATGAGGGGCTCTTTAGAAGAAATAATGTCACCTTCACGTATGCAACAATATTTTGGTGTGAAAACTGAGGGAAAGTTGCTTATGGTTAAAATGCTGGATGAAAACTTGAGATAAAAATCTTGCAGATTGGCCACARTCTTTGGGCATGTCATGTAGTATAAAAAAAATTGTTGACCAAAATCATGTCAAATTTAGGCATTTAAATAATGTAAAACGTTTTGGAAAATATTTTCACAGTGCTCTGAGTGTGTTTGTCCCACATGATGCAGCCTCACTAGGGATGGAAACCTGAGGGTGCTTTGAGACAGCCTCCTCTGCAAAAGGCATTTTTAGGATAATTAGTCCAGTCTCAGGAGGCTCATTAGCTCAGGATGAGGTGATAGCATGTCTGTGTCTGTACTCCTGCTTGCTCCAGACACAGATCAAACAAGTTTTTAGGAGATACCTGGAGCTGCATCACACTGTGCACGAGTAACAGGAGAGTCCTCTATGATAGAAGAAAAGATGACTTTTCCTGACTTTATGGTCTTTGCAGCTTGAGTTGTAGTTATGTGATGAGGGCACTGAAACTTTAGGGTTGGACCACAACCCTGCATTACACTGTCAGTAATGTACAACAAGAGAATATGGTTCACCTGAAAAGTGGTGGGGTTTCTTTTCCTCGTTTTCTTTTAAATGAAACCACAGAATTGTATTTCCAGCCAATCTCATTCCTGTACATTATGCARCAGTTGATTATTTTTGTGCAGAAAAGGATTAAAGGCCTTGGTCTTCCTTCATCCTGTCCTCTCTACCTACCAGGGGAAACAACATAAAAACTACCTTTTAAAACAAGTATCTTGAACCCTTTTTTTTCTAGAAAACCCCTGGTCTTTGTGGATCTGGACAAGTGACATCAAAAATGCRGGAACAGATGCCACCATCTTCTTCCAGATTTATGGAGAGAAGGGGAAGTCAGATGAGATGAARCTGGACAATAATTCAGACAACTTTGAAACTGGACAGACTGACAAATTCATGGTATGAATCTTGTGCTAGAGTGGATTTGGCTTGGTATTGTTTTCCAGGGCTMAATCCTGGGCAGAAAATCATCTGTGTGAGATTTTTACTCCATTAGTTCCTTCTAAAGTTGAGCTGAAGTMACTCCCTTTGGTGGTGATACAAATTATTTACCCACCTGTGGATATGGTGTGTCTTCCCAAGACTGGGAACWGGGTGGTGTTTCTGACTCCTCTCTGATTTAGCCCTTAAAAGATGTCCAGAGGTGCTTTTTGTGTGTRTGCTTTTCCTTACAAAAACCCATATTGCCCCTTTTTCCCCATTTACAGATCGAGCTTCCTGACCTCGGCAACTTTTAYAAGCTTCGGATATGGCACGAGAAGAGAAGCCCCTTTGCTGGCTGGCACCTGAATAAGGTGAGGGGACAGCAAGGGAAGGCAGGCTGGTGACAGAGGTCAGCAGTGCCACTCCTGGGTCACTGTGCTCCCCAGCTGGCAGCTGATTTTGCTGTGCAGCACCCTGAGGTGCCTGCCTTGTACAAGGACAAGGTAAAATTGTCTMAAGTTGCACCAAGAAAGGTTTAGTTTGAATATTAGGGAAAATTTCTAGACCGAAAGGACTGTGCTGKCACAGCTGCCCAGGGCAGTGGTGTAGTCCCCATCCCTGGAGGGGTTTTAAAATCATGTGGATGTGGCACTTGGGGACATGGGGCAGTGGTGAGCTGAGCAGTGCTGGGGAATGGTTGGACTCGATGGTCTTGGAGGGCTTTTCCAGCCCAAACAATTGTGTGATTCTGTGTGTGGGAAATGAGAGCAATGGGAAGAAGCAATGCCAGCTCCCCACAGCCACTATTGATGGTGAAAATCACATTTCCCACCCTTCCTGTGTCAGATAACCATAGTCCCATCTCACTGCTAGCAGGCATTTTTTCCATGCTCTTCAGAAATCTTCCTGTTCACAAACATTTTTACTGCACAGAAAGGCAAACCCACTCCTTCCACGGCACATTTACACTGCCCATGACAAAAAAAACCTGATTGCAGCAGAGATTTACTGCACAGAGAGGGCTGCCAGCCCTGTGGAGGGGGTGACCTGGCTRGAGGAGGCCATGGAGATGGTGCAGAGCAGAGCAGCAGTGTGCTGTGTGGGACCTGTCGAGGGTGCCCTGCCTGATCTTCACTCACTTTGCTCCACCAGCATTGATTTCTGTGCTGTCAGCCCTCACCTGGGTTGTCTGGGCAGCAACTCAATCTCTAACTTTCACCCCCACTCCTCCTAACCAGTTAGGGCACTCTCTGCCCTTAAAAAATACACACTTTGCTCTACATCTGTAAGTAACTGTGTTGATAAATCAGAGTTTGCCACTTGTAGCTTTTCCTTGGGCTCTTCTGACGTGGTTTGACAGATCCTGGTCTCCTACATCGTCATGAAGCTGTGAAAGCATCCACGGCCAGAATCCATCTCCAGTKGGAAGAGGGCATCAAGTGCTGATTTTGTCACCCTATGGTGGGAGAAGGTGCCTGGCTGTGGTCTTTTATGAAAAAAAAAAAATTGCTGTTCAGACTTTGGGCTGCTGCAATCATCCCTGTCAGTTTGTTCACAGATGATGAGGGAGAATGCTTGTATCTTCCACAGCTGTATATTTCCCTGTGGTATCCTATTTCTCTACACAAAAATTACGTTTTCAGGAAGGACAAGTGGTAACTTAGAGCATGTCCATTTTGGCCAAACTATCTATGTGCACCTGGTTAAGATGCATGAAATGCATTGATTTCTTATGGCTGGATTGATTTTAGCCCTTTTTCAACCTAAATGAATCTATGACTTTATGGAAATCAGCCTGTCCATATGCACCCCGTCTGATGTTTTCTGGAAGCATCAGTCTCATGGCACACCAATCCCATCACCTGTGCATCCATTGTAGTGTCTGGGAAGTTGGATGAAACCTGAATGATGCTTTGTTCCAGCCCTCACACATTTCGCGCCTGATTTGCTCTCTGTTGGGTCAGGCTTCCATTTTCCATCACCAAAACAGAGAAGAGCCACYCTGGTCAGGCCAAAAGTCCCTCTAGGCCAACACCTTCTCTCCTGTGTCACATGAGGTGRTGATTACAGAAGTGTAGGAAAAGGACAAGCATTTACGGTACTTCCTCCTAACATTTTTCCACTTTTTGACTGTTTCTAGCTGGACATTTCCTAAACAGAACTACCAAACAGAAAGCATTTAGCAGGGCTTGTTTTTTTTATCCCCCAGTTGTTAGTTGAAAGTTTCTAACCTCCCCTTGAACATTTAAACTTTCAGAAAGCTTAACAGCTTTTTGGCAAGGGCTTCACAGGCTGATTGTGTCCTTTTATTTTGCTTAGGGCTTTGTTCCACAAGCATCATTTGATGCCCTGAATTTCTTGTGGCAGAAAAGGGAGCAGCTGACCCCTCTCTGTCTTCTCCATGGCACCCGKGATTTTATACCCTTCATCATACCCTTCCTTTACACACTCCCACAGACAACTGCAGACCACCACCTTACTCGCTCATTACTCCTTTGGAAACTACTGCAGATCTTTGATCAGGATTCCTGCCATTTTTGGGATTTTGTTTTCTCCATGCGTTGATTCCCAGCAGCAAGAACCAGCAGCTCAAACCCCATCCATGATTTGCTCCTCGGGGTTATCCTGTGGCAGATGAGCCATTTTCAGAGCCATAAATGCCTCAAAATTTCCTCAACACTGCAGAGTCATTGGAGAAAGGAAGAATGAAAAGCCATCATCTGTGGCAGGCTTTGCTCCATACTTCACTGCAGCGCACGAGTCAGACGGCCTCGTTATTAATGTGTTTTATTTTCTCTGCTGCTACCTACTCTTGCCTCCCTGGCAAAAACCTGTCAGGATCTTGTTSCTTTTTTTTGCCTTTAAGCCTCTGAACTCACACAGTGTTTTTGGTTTAATGAAGGTAACTCTGCTGAAAACGCTGACAAAAGAAAAATACAAATTCAACTGCGGCCGCTGGCTAGATATAAATGAAGAGGACAATGAGATCGTGCGGGAGCTCCCYGCCGAGGGATCTCTGGTGACTGAAGTCATGCCAGGTGAGAGCCACGGGCTCTGTGCAAGGGCTTGCTTAGGACCTGAATAGAAAGAAACCCTCTTTGTGTGAGAGATGCACAGGCAGAACCGATGCAATTCAATTAACTTCTCTTTCTGGCACTTTCTCTCTGCAGTATTTTCTGTGTGCATCATTAGCTGCATGAAGCCTGAGAAATCCCAGGCTTTTATTATTTTTTTTTTATTGAGCAGATTTCTCTGTGGTGGGAAATGGGAGAGATCTGGCCACAGCACAGTTATTTCCAGGGCTTGGTTTTTTTTTTAAACCTTGCAAGTTTTTTTCCAATCTGCCTTAAAATGTGAAATGCCAGGTTTGAGGAATATTCATGGAAAGCAAGCTTAGCTGAAATGCAATCTAAAATTTGACAATCATATTTTGGTCTTTAAAGCTTTGTTTAGTTATATGCAAATTTATGCAGCTGTATGTATAAATGTATAGTAAGTTGCACAGCACAGTAGTGTGTGCATATGCATCTTTCAGTATGTATGAGCAATCCAAACTATTTATTCCTTTAATTGAACTGGAGATTTAATTAAGGAAAGCTGCAGAACTTTGCCCTGGCTTCCTGAAGTGGCCACTTTTGCCTCGACCTTGTGTCACAAGAATTAAATCTACTGAGAAGGAGAATTTAAGAGAGCAGAATGTCTCAAGGTTGCCAGTGGGATTTTTTGTATTTCCACCAAAGCAGCCACACTCTGTAGACCTTGAGTCCCTGTTTTCTGAAATTTCTGGTTCTGACTTTGGTGATCTGCATGCAGCAGAGCAGTTTCTCGGAAGAGGAAGAGTAATTGTAATTGCAGATGTTATTAAAATGTAAATAAACCTGGTTTTGAAATGTATTTTTAATCAGCTGTGGAGAGGGCAGCTCGAATCCTCACACAGGCACTTTTCCCTGTGAGGAGAATTTGTGCTGAGCAGAGGTGAGAATCAGCACCTGTGTGCTGGGCTTGCAGGTGGGTTTTGGAGGAAGGCTGGGGGCATTGCTTCTTGTCCCTTCCCTAAGCTGCAAAAAAGGGCCTCTGTCTCAAAGATTGGTCTGTGGGCTGGTTCTTTGCTGTGACAGCTTTTCCTGGAAATCCTTCACCCTGTTAGGTGGGAGGGCAGAGAGARGGGCATGGACAGGGGAGGACAGCAGCAGAGCAAAACCCATCAGATAAATCCCGTGAAGACCTCAAAAGTGACAAGGAAGCAAAAAATGCAACCTCCTGCATAGAGTTTGGACTCTTGGAGGGATGATCTTGGGGATCCTTTCCAACCTTTATGATGTAATGATTTCATGGGTCTGCGATTGTAGCTGTCCCAAGGGGATGGAGCCAGCTGGACCTGTCTTGTCCCGTAAGTCCAACATGAACAGCCCCTTCCTCAGGTCTCTGAGCACTTTCTAACTCTTTTTCTCTGCCTGCCGTGGATGCTGCAAGTGTTATTTTCTCCACACATTGCAAGGTTCCCCAGCCCTAGAGCCGTCTTGGGAAGGCAGAAGGGGAGGCAACAGGACAGGGACACTCCAATTCTTGAGGCTTTACTGGAAAGGGCCACCACTTTTATGTCCTTGTTTGGAGCACTTTTGTGGGTTCTCTCAACGCTTCAGGTCTTCCTGTTTTCTTTTCCTGGCAGTAACGTGGAAGTGTGGAAGTCAATACATCAGCAGAAGTACCAGCTGGAAGTACGAACACTTAAAGTTAATTACAAGCCTGTCAAAAAGGCAGTAAATTTAAACGGCGATTAACGGTGTTGCTGGGGTTGTTTCACTAATTTATGTCTCCCCAGTGATCAAATACCGYGTGACGGTGTGCACGGGCACCGTGAGCGGCAGTGGCACCGATGCCAACGTCTTCATCTGCCTCATTGGTGACCAGGGGGACACGGGCGAGCGCGTCCTCTACAACTGCCTCAACACCGTCAATAAATTTGAAAAAGGCAACGTAAGTCCGCGCAGCAGCGCCTCGATGCAAGGTTTTTTAAGCGTGTGGTAGTTTTATAGATTTTTTTTTTTCCCTTTCTCGAATGCGAGTTTGTAAACTCAGCTGATTTCCTCGCCAGCTCGGGCTAGGGCAGCAGGGAGAAATAAATCTTGTCGACAGRGCATCATAACAGGTTGCAGCTGGAGGGAGGTTTAGGTCGGGGACAGCATGCCCTTGCTTGATGTGTGCTCATGAAAGAGTCTCTTGGTTTGCTCCCCAGCTAAGTTCTGACTGCTGAAATTGCATCTTCAGATTGGGGAAGGCTTCCAGGAATCCTTCCAAGAATAAAAGGGAGCCTTTTCCCCTCCATCTAATATAGCAAAATTTGGCTCCCGGGGGCAGAGAAAGAAAACAGCATCTTATTTAATGTGAACGTCAGAACCCAAAGCCTAACATGTTTCCTTTACAATTCTTCCAGCTTCCTCGACCATGCTGCACTCAATTTTATTTCTTATTTTCAAACTGGTTTTCAATACATTTTTGTCTGTCTGTGTCCAGAATGGAGAAGGGTGGAAATGGATTGAAATGAAGACAGAGATTATTGCCTGGAAAGCTGCAGATAATGAAGAAGTCAAATTGTAGTTAAAGCCCTTGCAGCATTGGCAATATCAGCAGGCAAATAGTTTGCTGATCTGATCTATAGGGTCAAGCTACTTAATATGTATCCAATTTTGGATCTCTAGGGTCCAACTTAGGCTGGTAAAATGTAATCAATATCTCCAGGAGATTTTGAGAATCTGATCACAGAACTCTGCAGATTTCCCATCCCTTGTGTTGCTATTTGATTGAAGGTTCAGAGTGGAAGGAAAATGAAGATAAAAGGAGGTCACGTTTTCAAAATAGACCATTGAATTTAGGCTTCTGAAATATGCATTAGCACTTTGAATTTGCCTTTGAGTGTCCAGAATTTCCAATTCTTCACTGAAATCACTGAGCTTTTCTAGACTTTAAAAGAACTTTCATCAAGTATTTCTTCAGCTTTTAAGATCTGCCTGTGGAAAAGTGGCAATTACATAGTGTGAGARTCCATTCTGCTTCTAAATTATATATAGATTTGCATAAATGGACTTTGCAAACATCTTTTTTTTTTGCCTATGCATTGACATTATMGATATTATACTTTTAGAAGGTAGGTTCAAGCTGTAAAGGATGGCACTTTGTCATTTGGTGAAGCCTGTTTTTSTCAAAATTGCAGCAAAATGAGTCAAGTTTTGGCGCTGAAGACTGTTTCAGTGCAATTCCAAYGAAAGATGTTTGGTTTGCAGAGAAAACAAATATGTTAAACACAGATARTGGCTATTTTATGGCATGCTCCATCCTTGTCCAAGTCCAGATTGGGTGAGATTTGGATCCACTCGATTTGTTGGAAGGTGCCCAAGGCCATGGCAAAGCAGCTGGAACAAGGTGATCTTTAAGGTCCCTTCCAAACCAAAACATTATAGGATTCTACAATAATTCTATGATATTTAATGACAAAAAATGAGTTACAGGCTAACTTGCATGAGGGAGGATAAAAAGGGAAAAATAATTTTGGCAATTAAAAGATGTGATTAACAGGATGTAGATGACATAAACCAAACTGGAACCYGTTAGTGAAAAACTGCTCTCCTGGCACCAGGCACTGAAAGCTGGTGAATAAATTGGAAGCTGTTTAAGAATTGATCCTGACAAACTTAGAGCTCATATATTCAAGAGGCTGAATGAGTATAACTACACTGATTAACTCAGATACCCTGTTAAAAAGAAATGTAGCTAAGTCAGTGTGGTCTCTAATCTACAGCCACTTAAACCAATAGTACCTTGATTACCTATTTAACTTAAAAAGTTTGCCTGCAGATGCAAACTAACAGCCTGTGTAGAAAGTAAGATTTAAAGATGCCTCTAAATTAGGTGTTTGCCCTGTTGTGGTTCCACTTAGTTACTTACTCATTAATTTACATCAGCTGTTAATAAGTAAGGTGAGCATCAGGCCTAATGAATTAAATTACATTGACTTGGACTGAGTCAGTGAGGTTTTGATGCCTTAAATCCCCAATTCAGCAGTTTTGAGTGTGTAATAGCATTGGCATAGATAAGCCCACCATTAACCCTTCAAACAGTGGCACAAAGTTGGTTGCCTTCATTCCAAAGGTCAGTTTGGACTCCTGAATGGTGTCATCATTATGATTGTTTTAATRAATTTCCATATTTGCATAAATATCGCCCTGCCACCACATTTTCTGGGAGCCAGCTGGGTATGTAATGCCAGCGTATGTGCTTTTGGGAGATGAAGAACAACCAAAAGACATCCTTCTCTCACCTAAGCAAGGCATCTCAGCCAGAGGGCAAGCACAGCAGTTGTGTCTCTCTGTTGGGCTCATCGCTGCAGATTCACTGTGTGCTTGCACCCAGGATTCACCACGCATGTGCCACATGTGTGTGTCTGTATATATGATACAGATCATTTTGTCTGGCCTGGTTCCCAGAGAAGCAACTCGCTCTTTTAATGCATCTCTCTTCCCTCAGCCATCAGGAACTGCTGGTCCCAGTGAGCTCTTAGGTAAAAGAGCTGTGCTCTTGAGGAGCCATCCCTTAGACTAATCTGTATGTTGGTTATTTTAGCCTGTTTCCAAAGGGAAAAAAAAAAGGGAAAAAAGAATTACATAATATCCATGTTTCTGGGGGAGGATTGAGGGCATTTATCTGCTGAGTTAGGTTCAAATCACCCTCCAAACACAGCTCATGGAGCATCTGGAAATACCCCAGAGCAGCCCTGCCCATACTGGCACACCAGGAAATTAAACAGGGTTAAATTGTGCTCAGTAGTCAATGCTGTCTGACTCTAACACAGCACAATGTCTTTGAGCTGTACCTCCAAACACCTCCGTAGATTTGGTCTGAAGTGACCTGCTTCCAGCTTCTCAGAAAGCTTATGTCTGAGCAGGGGTTTCAACCTGGATTTCCTGCCTCTCTGTATGAATTTCTTACTAATCAAATTACTTCTCTTTTTTACAGTTATAGAGGGCATGCAATGACATGGGAGATTTAAAATGCTGGCAGATCATATATTTACAAATCTAACATTATACATCTAGCACAAATATTCGGCCTTTTTATTCTTTGGTAAAGTCATACTTTCTCCTTCATCTCRTGAAGAATTATCTTGCAGCATGCTGATGATGTTGGTTTGATTGCAGTAATAAATTTGGGTTGCTTGTTTGCTTTTAAGAAGAAATATTGCCTTACCTTTTTTATTCTCCTCCTCAAAGGCTGATGAATTCCTCATTGAAGCAGTAACGCTGAAGCAGGTGAGGAGGGTGAGGATAGGGCATGATGGCAAAGGAGGAAGCAGTGGCTGGTACCTTGCCAAAGTGATAGTGMGGGAAGAAGGACAGCCAGAAAGTGAGGCTGTGGAATTCCCCTGCAACAGGTACTGGAAACAATGCTTGCAAATTAAGTCTCCGTCCATGCATTTGCCAGGCTTTGAAGAGCCTRGCTGTTGGTCCATGACTGGAATTTTCTGAGCACAGCTTAATGCTTTTTTATTTATTCATTTTGTTCATTTATTTCTTTGTTTTGCTAAGCCTGGAAGGAAAGAGTGTGTTTTGGGAGGTTTAAGACACGGTTAACTCCCCTTACCAAATGAGCAGCAAATCTGGATTGTGAGCTGCTCARCAATCAGCTCAGTAATGCAGAGAACTTGCAAAAGGCAAAACACAACCTTCCAGTACCACATCCAGTGTCACTGCAATTGCCTGCTGCAGAAACACACTCTGCTGGTGTTGCTGCATGTGTGGAACGAGGCTCTGGTCCCTCACATGCRCATCCCATCCTTCTGGGAGCAATGGGATGCTGTTTTTGTGTTGGGAGCATGCAAAATTTGTTATGCTGCCATCTCAAGAGCTCCTTGCATGAGGGGAAATGCATATCACACAGACAGAGACAGTGTCAGGGCAGAAGGCTGGGAGTTACCCCTGTGGGTGGGTCATAAATGCATTCCTCTCTTCCCTAGACAATSGAGTGGCCAAAAGCAATGTGCTGTGCTGAGGCTGCCTGTGGGGAGCAGGATGCTTGATCTGTCCTGGCACTAACTGGGGTCTGCCTCAACACTGAGGCAAAAACTAGAGAGAACTGGGTTAAAAAATTAGGGATTAACTCCAGTGTAGTTCAGGRTCTCACTTACCCTCTCAGGATGTCCACCCTGCAGGGTGGAGGTTCACTGAGCTCCATTTGACACCACCATGTACCYGTTCTAAAAAATCATCTCCCAGGGGCAAATGGAATAGAAAAACTCAAATTATTTTGAAATGGCAGACAAAAGTAAAGCCTCTGAGCTGGTTACTTGTCCCTTGMCTTGAAAGAGCTCCACTATAATGAGGGGAGTCAGCCAAACACAAAACAGGAGCCAGCCCCAGCCYCTTGGCGTTGCTAAAGCCATGTCACATCAGAGAGCAAACTCACCGGGGAGACAGCACGGAGCAGCAGATGCAATGTCATCTCAGTTGTGAAAAGCAAGCCAGTCTCTCCCTACCCAAAGAACAAACAGCCAYGCAGTCATTGCTGGCTTTTGATCCATATTTAACAACCATATGCTTTACTGAGTTAAGCAAGCAATCTAGACAGGTTTCTCCTTGGACATGAAGTGTCCACGTGAAGCACTGCTTCACTCAGACTCCTCAGAGATATTTCTGTGTCTAACTGCAGCGTGCAGCTGGCTCATTTTAGAGATTTCCTTTTAGAATTGTCTCCTTATGTGACTTTTAAACTGGGAGTCTTCCATGAGCTGGGAGTGATGACCCCCCTTCCTGTAGGTTTACACCTGTGGGTCAGGAACACCAGTGAGCATTCCCCTCAGGCCAGGGACGAAAAAAGGACGGAGAGAAAAAAAATGCAAGACCTCTTCCCCAAAACATTCATGGTGTACCTTCAGACTTCAGGTCACCAGAGATGGAATTCCACTCTTCTTATCTTTCTAAATGTCTCTTTTCCCAAGTGATATCAGTGTTATTGGTGCGGCTTTATTTGCTGTCCTTGTGCCAGCATTATCTCTTCCTCTCAGATTGAGAAGGTGACATGACTGATCGCCACCAAGCACAGGGACAGCTGCTCCCTCTCGTTCCCTTTGGTGCCCGTGTCTCCCMCGAGACCGCGGCATCATCGCAGAGTACGGGTGTCGTCATGGACTCTGCAGAGATCTGAGGGCGAAGGTGCTCACCCACTGCATCCTCCACCTGAGGGACAGACACCTCCATGGCCTGCAGTGTTTGGATGTTCCTGTCCACTCCTGGAGGCCAAGGACAGCCCATGGCCTCGCTGCTTTGGCAGGAGCTCRGGGAGTCCTGCTTCACCCACCCCTTCAAAGATTTGTCCAAGAAGGGGTGATATAAGGGAGAATAGTTAGAGATTCCATCCAAGGGGCACACCTGGGAAGATTCTCTTTCTGCTTGGCCAGTGGACATGCTCTCACTGCTTTCATCTCCAAGATCTGATTAACTTTCACTCTTCTACACAGTACGGTTGTGTGGTCTGGAGAAAACACCTTTTGCTGCTGGGTTTGTCCCAAAAACTCCTCCCCTGACCTTGTGACACTCAGCTGCTCCTGTGACAGCAAGGGGACAAAGTATCTTCCTGCAGAAACACATCTCACCTGTGCAGAGAGCTCCACAGGCTCCTCACCTGTGCAAACCCGGCTGCAGCAGCACGTGGGGAGCAGATATTCTATCCAAAAGCTGCCCAACCAGCTTCCCCTCTAACTGACGTCTTTAACTCACCCTTATACATCTTCATTGCATGGAACCTGTTGAACTCTCTGTCCCTGTTATTTACATATTCATATGCACGAGTGTTTTGCCTTTTAATTTGAAATCTTTTCTGTGACTCCATGGGATCATCTATTACTTGGTAACCACAAGAGCTCTGCAAGTAGAGCTGTCTTTGTTGTACCAGGGAGCCAGAAGAGATAGAGAGAAGCTAAGTGGATTAATTGTGAGTTTGTGTCAGATTGAAGATGAGAATAGAGAAATAACAACTCCCAGGCCTGKGCTTTCAACTCTTTAAACAGTTGGCTTAGTGTCAGTGATTTTAAAGTGGTCATTTGATCTGTGCTTGCAAGAAGTAAATGCAAGTTAGTTCCCCAAGCATTATTTCCAGAATTACTAGTACATCACTTGGATGCAGCACTATTCCTCCCTTACAACAAAATGACATTATAATATCCACGCTTTTAGGAACTGAATACTGAATCATTCAGTGGCATCACTGAGCAATTTTTGCCTTGTAATATCTGATGTGGTTTAGGTACTGCGGTGTTGAACACTGCAGCAAAGCTCAAAATTAACGGAGCTCACCTTTTGCCCCAGAAATGGAGACAAACTTTTCTAAAGATCAGGACTGAGTGCTTCTGGTTTCATTTTTCTCCTCAAAGCTCTCTAGAAGTCCAGGAATGGACTAGCTGACACTCTCTAAAACAGACTATTTTTTATAATATTTATATCCCAGACAGAAATGAATTTTCAATCAGACAAAGTCGTGAGTTCGTGATAGGATAGAATTTTACATGCCATAAATCATTACAACTCCACTGAAATCTTCAATGGTACGTCATTAAATCTTTTTTCTAAGCATATGGCTCCCACCATCCTAATTTTCCTCCAGCACAAGCATAAGGGAACATTATTAATTCTCTGAAGAACAACAGGCAGGCCATGAATGGGATGCTCTAGGAGACTCCTGCAAAAGAACATTTATTCAATCAAATGCCAAAAAAACGTTCATCATACAAAGGAGCCAGAGAAACCTCCTTTTCTTGCCTAAAAATAAACTGAAATGTCTATCTCTTTTACACATTTTTGTATATAGGTTATATTTAAAGGCACACACAAATACATACGTGCCTCTGAATCGAATGGAAGTGCCAATCATTCTAATTGCACTCAGGCTGGATTTCAAATGCCATTTATTATGTCAGACCATCTTTTTTCCAGTGGTCGCCTGACTCTCCGATCCTATAGAAATTATTTCTGAAGTGGCTTTCATGTCATATTTCTGTCCCCTTTGATTTATACTGGTCATAAAATATCTCTCTAAAATCAAAGATGTGACACAGGACATGACTGCACCCTTGCAAAATACACAGTGGCATGTGAATTGCATTCACTGAAATCATACAGGKGCTCTGATAAAATAAAAGATTTTGACATGCCTTTTGTAGCAGGGGTRTGATGGCACTGCACTGAAATATTTTATTTTCTGCAGCCAGATGTGTTTATTATRTGTCAATCCACTTGTGTTCGGTGTAAGACTGCAAACCCCTGCTCAACAATATGCTGTAGGAATTATACCAAAATGGAAATTAGGATATTGATGCATATGTGATGAAGGGAAGGGGTGTGGTGGCATTGCCCATCCAAATATCTCCTCTATCACTAATATTCTTGAGAAAGCAGTGCTTCTGCCACTCCTSGATATTCTCCTGGATGAAATAGCACAAGGAGCCTTAAGCCATTTCTGCTGATAAACCTCCCTCTTCCTCCTCAKTCCAAGACATGCTCTTTCTCTTACTATCAGTATCTACCATATTGGTGGAGGGAATTTCTTTATCTCAGCTGTGTGCTGCTTTTCTGATTCGCTTGTCTCCTCTGCTCTCCCTGCTAAAGCAGTAACCATTTGCTGTGCTGCACACAGAGATCTGTGGGATCTTTCTTGTGGGATGTATTTTTATCCTGCCACCTCRGCACAGGAGAGACTCACTCAGATTTATCCCAGATACCCCCAAAACGTCAGCAGTGAAGGTGACAGAAAACAGCAGCATGTCCACTGGCAACAGAATCAGCCGCTTTCAGGGCACAAAAAAAACCAGAGGGAGAGCAGAAGTGTGTCTGCCTTGTGAGCTTCTGCCTTCCTGGAGGCCATGCTGAGGTCARTGGTCCTGGGGTGGTGGATTCAGGCTTGGATTTTGTGGGTCCCCCCCTGTTAACATCCATGTGCACAGAAGCATCTTGATTTTTGGGATGACGAGATCCCCTAGTCATTGGATACCTGTCCAAGGATGTGAATCCTGAGCCCGCATCAAGAACTGCATGGTACAAAGGTATTAAGGACCAGTTCTCACAGGTAAAAYAACCCCATCCCACCCCAGCCCCAAAATATGAATAAATACTCCCTTTCTTATGACAACGTGATGTCTTAGCATGCTCTGAGTGCAATCTACMCTTGCTCAATCCTTGGCATCAGTTTCATGGTCTTCCCCACGGATTTCTCTGCTCCTCTATCCCACARCATCCCTCAGCCTCCTCTGAGGCACAGTACTGCATCTGATGCCCTCCCTTGGTGCTTGTGTGACCATCACCATGTTCACCTGTTCATCATCTCCATGCTGACCCCCTTAACTGTTAGCCCTGTCCCAGACCTGCACAAGGACACCTTTAAAGAGASAAAGGGCAGAATACGGGGTAGAGTTCGTACCCGACAACCTCCCAGAGCTTAGAGGGAAGCTGGGGCTGGAAATGTGTGTCTGTGTGGTGGGACCCCTCTGCACCTCTTTTGCATGAGAACACTGCTGCTCGTGCTTCCAGGACTGGCTGGCTCTAGTTCATGTTTGGATTTCTTTCCTGGTGCTGGTTTTTTTTTGCATGGATTCTTTGTGCTTGTTGTTTTCCGCCGGTTGGGAGGAGAGATGAGAAGATTGAAAATATAATATTCCTTCAGATGGATGAAGTGGAGATGTACCATCCTTGGTCTTCCCAAATATCTGGTCCAACTGGTGATGACTGTGAGCTCTGCTGGATTTTTATCAGCGAGGTGCCTTAGGTTTGATCCAGCTCTCAGCAGGCATTTGTTCGTGTCCCCAAATCCCCGTTTTAAAAGCCATATTCTGATTTCCCTACTTGCTGACTCACTGTCAAAGTCAAAGATGGAAACTTTGATGGGGAGAACGAGTTCCCCTCTTTTGTGGCACAGGGGTCAGCCAAGGACAAGGTGTGTGTCAGGGTGGCACTGTGGGGAGCTCACAGGGCACATGGGCCACATGTGGAGAAGCAGATCTGCTGTGGTCAGGTGTGGCCACCTTTAAAAAGAAGCACTTTCTGGGGATTTGTTTTTACTCCTCCCACTTCTGGGAATTGTTAAAGCCATTTAAATACTCTGCATGACCCGCCAGAGAGTGCTCATTTGTCCTTTTCTCGCCCCTGCTGATTTGAGACAGTATTTTTAGCTGCAAAAGGCGCTGCTGCAGATAGTGGGTACCTGGGAACAATGGGCATTCAGGGACCTGCTCCTGCTCTCACAGCACCACTGTGGGAAACCTGACCCTAAACAGATGCTCACAGGAACATATTGAGTGCTGCAGCAGGCTGGGTTTGGAGAGGAAAGCCAGACATTTCTGCCAGGGCCCTGGCTGTTGTCACACAAGGGTTGCTGTTTGGTTTATTGTGGGGTTGGGGCTGTAAATCCTTCATCCCTGAGGTTCAAGGAGCAGCTGTGAAGGTTACCAGGTTAGCAATTGGTTCCCCTCTGTTTTGGGAGGGGACTTTTGGAGGATTGGAGGGGAACTTTTGGAAAGGGCATGTGAAGGTAGGATAAGGGGGAAATGATCTTAAGCTGAAGAAGRGCAAAGCAATTAGATATTAAGAAGAAATTCTTTACCATCAGGGTGCKGAGGCCCCTGCACAGGCTGTCCAGAGATGTTGTGGCTGCCCCATACCTGGGAGGGATCCCAAGGCCAGGTTGGATGGGGCTTGGAACACCATGGCACAGTGGAAGGTGTCCCTGCCCGTGGCAAGGGGTGGCACTGGATGAGCTTTTAGGTCCCTTCCAACCCAAACCATTTTGTGTATCTAGGATTTTCCTTTCAGAGTTTTTTTCCCTTGAGATCGTGCTACAGTTTACTTTGTGCCCAACCCCTCTTCTTAATTAGTCTATTTGGATCTTTAGTTCTGGGAAAGGTAGGAAATGCTGCCTTTTTGCCAGTGCCAGCTGCCTCCACATTCCCAGCCCTGACAAAAGGAATAACATAATTCATCCCCTCCCCTTAGCAGTAGAGGCTGCAAGTCTTTCTGGCCAATGGAGGTTGAATACACTGGTTCAATACACTAAGAGCTGAACGTTCACAGCAATAACTTGTGGTTGTGAAGTTTGTGCTTTTCAGACAGATGGACATCACGGCAGCGCTCTCATAGTCCTCTTCTTGGAAAAAAAATGGAGGTTTAAAATGTGGCTGCCATATGGTCTGGTCAAGTTTCTGCTAAGATAGCAGGGATACAAGAGCCCTACAAAAATATCTTTTTGACTGTGGTGTGGATTTGGGCTATGTGTGAAGCCAGTGTAGATTTTTGAAAGGTCTAACAGGTGCTAATTATTCAAAGATAACTTACTTCTGTTTGTAAACCAGATGGCTTGACAAAAATGAGGACGATGGTCAGATTGTCCGAGAATTAGTGCCTGCTGGGGAGTCGCCATTGCTAAAAAGTGAGTTTAGTTCGGAAATAAGAAGGTCTGGGCTCAAGCTGTAGATGGAGGTGTTTATTCGATTTATTTTTTTTTAATAATTCTTGTCAGCTCCCAAAAAATTCACCAAATTTGCTGGGCATTTTTTTGCCACTCYTATGCAAGAAGCTGCAGTAGGTCATGCTGCAAGAAATGACTCTGACTCTTAAACTGGGGTTTGTGAATGGGATTAATTTGTATAAAAGAGCATAATTGCAGCATTATATATGTAGAAAGAAACTGACTTTTAATAGGATTTGTTTAAGAACTGCTTTATTGTATATCTTTCACTGGAGGAGATCTTGAATTGCCACTGTTTTTGTAAATTCCATCAAATGAGTGAATTCATAGAAGAAAATCACCAAAAATATTATACTGTGCTTTTCTGAAGGACCAGGGCTCCAATATTACAACTTTCTTTAGAAAAGAGCRCTTGCAGAGTGCAGGTTGTTTTCTTTTTTGTTTTAGAAGGTCAAAGCTATTAAATTAAATTGTAAGTATAAAAACTGTGAAATAATCCCATTTGCCTAAGTGCATTTTTATGGCTTGGGTAATCACTTAACAGTGAGAGGGAGGCAYGCAGAATATTTTATGCTTACTAGCGTAACTGTTGGATCCCTCATTTTTTGGTGAATAACTCCAAGGTGTGACAGCCCCTCCACCGTGGCCCTAAGATGCTGAATGCACCAGTGGAGGGCACAGTCCTGTGTCTGTGTGTGGAGCCTGCCTCCCCTGTATCTTGTTTGAAGCCAATTGCCTGTCTGGSTGCTGGAAATGCCACTCACATTCTGTGTTCTGTGCATCGATCCCRCTGCAGATGTCAGTTACCACATCAGCGTCAAGACGGGAGATGTCCCCGGTGCCAGCTCGGATTCCAAGGTTTTCATCAAACTCTACGGTGAAAAAGGAGACTCCAGCAAAGAGCCTCTCTTRGTTTCTGATAATGATCTAGGCAATTATTTTGAACGTGCTCGAGTGGATGAGTTTACTGTAGATATGATGGATATTGGAAAGGTAAGAATTAATTACAGGTGGCTCTGTATTTTGAGCAGATGTCTGAATTCAGAATCAAAATAACACTCGGTATCAAATGTGATGAAAAGAACCTTTGACCTTCACACTGGATATTAAGAAACATGTTTTACATAGATTTTACACCAGCAATCCATTGTGCATGCTGGCATGTGAGGAGGGTTTTAAGTTTATAGTTAAATACATATATAAATAATTTACATGAACACGGTGGAAGAACACAGTGCCAGGCTGAGGAGATTGTTTTACACTAAGCAAATTCTGTTGTGTTGGGGTTTTTCCTGCCCTCTGGGTTTTTGTTTGCTTTTTTYAAAGATCAGCCGAATACTGATTGGACACGATAACGTGGGTCTCCGGTCCGGCTGGTTCCTGGCCAGYGTCCAGATCACAGTTCCAGTCCAGGGAAGGCTCTACATGTTCCCCTGCAACCGATGGCTTGACAAGAATGAGGCTGATGGCAGGGTGGAGGTGGAGCTCTACCCTAGTGAGATTTTGCCTATTGAGAAATGTAAGAGAACATGTGCTRTTTCGTACTTTGGGCTAAATATGTGTTGATATTCTTGAGGGCAGGGTCACCACTGTGTTAGACACTAAAACCAAAAAGTCACCACCAAAAGTCACCTACGAGCTTATATTGGTGAGGAAAGGAAAATTCTCTCCTCAAGTTTTCTAAAAGAGTTGGAAAAACATTGCAGAGRTTTTCATCTCCACCTCCTGAGACCATGTGAAAAATTTACATCCTGGGCAGCACAAAAGAGCACAAGACAAAGTACAAAAGCAATGCTTTTGCATTGCTTTTTTCTACGTTTATCTGCTCCAGTCCCTTCTTCCTTTTGTGCRCCAGCACGTGTCCCATCCTGTCTTTATTACCCCATTTCCTGGAAGAGAGAGGCTTTTTGATAAATAAGAGCCAAATCCCTRCTGGTCACTTGAATTTTATCAGTAGACCCATTTTCTTTCCAGGCTACCGCTAAAATTTGCTGTCRGATCCTGCTCTCTTTTATTCCCTCCTTTGTACCATGCTAAGGAGACCATTCAACCACTCTAAAGTTAGTACTGAAACAAAATTCCCTTTTAAGGCTCTGTTTTGCACCCCTCTGCCACCGGCTTAGTACTTGTAAAAGGAAAACTATTAGGTTAGTCCTCAGTGAAGAGTTCTGTTATCTCACATTTAGTTCGGATAAGAGCAAATGGTCAGCTACGTGGACATTTGTTAAGACAAGGTAATTTAATTTCAAACCTGAGCCCCCAGGAATGTTGTTATCTGAGCTTCCCTGCTGATTTAATTGCTTTATTTTTGGACCAGTGATAAACTATGAGGTGTCTGTAGTTACTGGAAACGTGCGAGCCGCAGGCACCAACGCCAACGTCTTCATGCAGATTTATGGCGAGACTGGCAAAACGGAGCTCATCATCTTAGACAACAGATCCAACAACTTTGAAAGGGGAGCCACAGATCTCTTCAAGGTATGATGAAGGCAGTCACTGTAACTTCTAAGAGGGGAAAGCAATGATCAGCCAAAACCGAGACATCAATGGAATAATTGGCCTAATGATACAAAAAAAAAAAAAAAAAAAAAAAAAAAAAAAAAAAAAAAAAAAAAAAAAAAAAAAAAAAAAAAAAAAAAAAAAAAAAAAAAGAGAACAAAGTTTCCAAGAAAATTGCAAGTCTGGCAGTATCTACTCTCCTCTATACATATTTTTTAAAGGTTTCTTATTTCTTTTATGGAGTTGTGTGTTTTGTGGGGGTCTTTCATCTTCCAAGGGGCTGCTAGCAAAGGTGTCATTGAAATTTATGATCTAATAGCAGTATTTGCTTATATTTCTTTTCAAAAGGATTTAAAAAAAATTAAGCTTTGGGCTTAACCATTTGGTACTGCCAACTTTTACTGTGTTGTTGGGGAAAAAATCCCATTTGTATATAAGAATATAAGGAATCCCAAGTTTGCCTGTGGTCATACACTCTATTAACCACAGGCATACTGCCAGCCCTGCAGAGGTTTGCAGCTGTAATTCCTGTGAATTACATGGATTTTTTAGTGCCTGTAGCACTGTTCCAGTGGGCACTGCACAGTCCTGGCTCTTGACGTGCACAGCTCAGTCCTCCAGGTTTTGGGATGGTCAGAATTCAGATTTATATTATGCAGCCCACTCCTCTTTCCAAGCAGCTCAGGAACAAAGGAAGTGTTTGCAGAGGTGAGAAATCTCAGACTTAACCCAGGTGAGAGAGCCAGGACCTTGGATAATCCAGCACCAGGTTCTGGGCTGGCGAGGCTGAGCAGCAGGTGTGGATCACAAGTGGTCAGCATCCYCTTCCTTTTGGACAAGCACTCTCTTCTGCCTCATTCACCTGGGGTTTCTGTCCAGGAAAAGGTCTGGGGGAAAGGAATGGTCCCAGCACTGATGTGGGATCAGAGCAAAGACAGGATGCTCTGTCAGGGCACGTCAGAGCCGCGTCCTTCTGTACTGAAGAAGAGACCAACATCTGGGCAGCGAGGCAGAGGGTCCAGATGGAAGCAGGATTTGAGGCACATCTGTCGTGTGTGCTCACAGCGCAAGGCTTGGCACAGCAGTGCCTGAACTTTCTCAAGAATTTGCATTCCCACAGAGGCTGGATCCATCTCAGCACAGTTGAGCTTGGAGCTAATTGCTGAAGCTCCCCTGAATTGTCAAGACTGGGATATCCTTCCTGCTGTCAGTGGCCAAACGGAGGTGCCTTTTATCCACAGCTTTACCCTTTTTGTAATGTGTGGCTTTGAGATCAGTTCACCACCCCCTGCCTAATTTTCTTGCTTTACCGAATGGAGTTACTGATGTTTATCCATTTTTAATGAGTTTTGGGGGATTTGAAATGACTAGTACCTTATAAATGTTTGCTTTTTAAAAACCCTCTATAATTTTAAGATWAGGCTTCTCTGATTTTAAAGGAAATAAGCTTTCTAAAATTTATGAGTAAGAGCTATTAGCCAATATCAGATTTATTATAAAGCCATATGTACAGTGTTCTGTTTACATAGCTGTGCTTATATCTTCTCTAGGATATTTACTGCCAGATTTGAAAATTATGCCCATTTCTGTGGTTTTTTGTAAGCACACAAGGCAGAAGCTCCGAAGCATTAATAACAGACCCTCTATCTCTTTCGCTATATGAATATTTACAAAAAGACACAGGCAAAAATAAGATTCTGTGAGYTACATGGTAATAGGAAATGCCATCAGTCACAGACAAGGCATACAGGATGATTACAGCAAATCTGAGGGTAAAGCCGTGTAAGGAAAGATACATTCTTTATGTCAGGACAGCRGGATCAATTTTAGTTTTCTGGTAAGCATCTTGTGTTCAATTGATTTTGTTTTAATCTATGAAATGCTTCTGGACTAAAACCTTACATGCCAAGTTCCAGATTTCAGCCTGAAGCAAATGTTTGCAAGTCTTGTAACATAAGCACTGCGTAGCAGGGCAAGCAATCATCAGAAACAAGTCATGGGTTGTTGAAGGATTGCATGGAGTAAAATCTTCTATCCAACTTCATTAAGTAGTAATCTGGACAGATAATCTAAACCAAGAAGGTTTTGTGTCTGCTGTGCTGATGTAAATCTTCTTACTGATCAGCCTTCTGCCACTGAAGCCCTGTAACTGCTAATGATTGTATCTTCTCTGCACATCAGCAAAGTGAGAAAATAATTCTCTAATTTTCCAGATGAGAAGGAAGGAGAAGGGCACTCCAAACCCACAGTCTGTGTCAGAGATCAGGTTATATGAGTTAAATGCCTTTCCACTGTGCCATTATTGCTTCTTGCTGGGTTCATATCCTGTGCTGAGTATGAAAGGCATCTTATTATTAATTTYCAAAATACCTCATGCACTGAGAATCTGTGAAAACCTGGTGGGGTATTATCGTATATTCATCTTTAGTGACGACAGAGACAATGCAGGTAAGGAGAGGAATGAGAAAGTAGGGAGCACAATAATCATGGTTTTAGCTCCTCTCCTCACCATGGTTTCTCTGAATGTCATCAGGCCAGACTTTTCAGATGAGATCTGGCAATAGAAAGTATGAAACAGTAAAGGAGGAAGAAAACAATAAAATTAAACTTGCATTTTAAAATTGTTCTTAGGTATTTTGGGTGATAGAGGAGGTGTTCCTCAKTTTTAAGAATGCGCTTTAGGAAATTAAGTGATTGTCTTCCAACTGCCTGAGTGGTGACTTTCCCTTGGTGGCAGAGAGAGGCTGCAGATGTTGGCAAGATTTTTAAAATCCGGATAGGCCATGACGGGTCAGGCATCGGGGATGGCTGGTTCCTGGAGAGCGTCACGCTGAAACGCCTGGCCGCGGGAGTGGAGGAGTCTGACAACAACTCTGACGAGGGAGAGGAGGCCAAGGCAGARGGAATGGATGTCTACACCTTTGTGGCACATCGCTGGCTGGCTAGAGATGAAGGGGACAAGGAGCTCGTGGTGGAGCTGGCGCCTGAAGGAGACGAGGAGCTGGAGGGTAAATACCAGCTGGAATGTGTGTGTGCACGTGTGTTTGTGTGCGTGTGTGTGTGTGTGTGTGTGTGTGTGTGTGTGTGTGTGTATCCAGCCTCTGCATGAAGGATGACACCACACTGCGCCACTTGGCAGGGCTATTTCGGGCCTCACAACCACACTGCGCCACTTGGCAGGTCCATTTAGGGCCCCACAACCCCTCTGTTGCCCCAAACCTGCACTGTATCCTCCTTTGATCCACCTGCTTTGGTGGAGCAAGCCAGGGAGGAAGTGGATGGTGGGTGAATTAAGGCAGAACATCGAGGAGATGGCCTGAAATTGGAATATCCTAAAGGGCTTTTATAGGATTCACCAAAGGCTGTCTGGGSCACTTGGTTCAAGGGTCCCAGAGGTTCCCACTGTGGCTGAGAGTCCAACAAGGTGCAACTATTGTTGTGGCCAAGGAGAGGGCTGGAGGAACACAGAGCTGCTCATGTTTTAAGATAGATGCCAAAAATGTCCGGCAAACTCTTTCTGTGCAGGCATTTTGGGTGTTGCACCATGCTTTGATGAAATATGGCCATTTCTGGGCTCCTTCTGACCGGCCTTTGCAATTTTGCTTGCAGAAAATGTGTACGAGGTCCGCGTCATCACTGGGACTGTGTGGGGGGCTGGCACRGATGCGAATGTCTTCTTGAGCATCTATGGCATGGAGAGAGGAGACACGGGTGAGCGCCAGCTGAAAAGGTCAAATAACATCAACAAGTTCGAGAAAGGACAGGTAATGCATCAGCTCCACTCACTCAAGTGAGCAGAAGGCTGGTAGGGTTCTCTTGGTTTGATGTGCTGCCCATTCARTATGGACTCTTCTTTGAAATATTTTATTTCTGAAATATATCATGTAAAGCAAAATGCCTTAAAGACATTTTCCAGGGGATATTAATTTGAATTATAAGCTGAGCACCAATTCCATGTTGGAACCACCTTCTGCATCTGCTTCTGGTCACAATGGTTCCTTTCAGGAATACTTAAAACTTACAAATCTTAAATTAATATCGGAGAGTATTTGTGGGGCAGTTCAATATGTATATATTTATATGCAAATACTATTCTMAATGTTCTGCCCAACCAGCCAGGGAATAAAAGCAATATTACACAGTGTGCTGTAATTACATTATAAACCAATCCAATTAAAGATCATCTCTTGTATGCTGAGYATTTGCTATAAAAAGTTTATGAACAATTAACAAGCTACTGTTATAGCCAGGGTTTTTTCAAGGAATAATTCTGAAGAACAAAAATATTATAGAAACAAAAAGCAGCTGCGGAAAACTTGCAACCACAGGAAAAAAAAAAGAAAAAAGAGGGAAAAAAGAGCCTAAGGTTGTTAAATAAGCTGTTAGCTGTGATTTATGAGCTTGGCACTGGTGAAACTGCAACCTGCACATGGTTCTTCATTCAGTGGGAAGAGCTCCAAGCTGCAAACTTAATGCTCCTTACTCTGGRGAGTACAAACCCAAAGTCTACCAACATATTAATCACATTAAGACATTTAAACTGCTATGATAACAAGCACCATCTTGTCACGCTAACAGAGCTAATAAATGATCATCTCAGTTGTGGTAAATGACAAAAGGAAGACATCCTGAAATATTTGAAACAGAGGTTGTGTTTTGGGGCTGKCCCGTGCAGAGCCAGGAGCTGGACTCAGTGATTCTTGTGGGTGYCTTCCAGCTCTGGATATTCTAAGATTCTGCATACAGGTACACAGAATAATTTCCATGGAGTCAATATGTTTTTGTACAGTTTCAGGTTAAATGTGTGGGAAAATGCTAAGTCTGAAAGGAATGATATTTAGCAGAGGGAAGCTGAAGTTACAGGAAGCTGAAACTTGACTAAGGTGAAGGAAGGAGAGGAGGGCTGGGCAGCTCCAAGGCTATTACTGCCTTGTAGAAGCCAAACATGAGCGTTAATGGSAGACCTCGCAGCTCTGTAGTTATTTCTGTACACCCACACAAAGAGTACAAAGAGAACATACAAACAGCTATTTTTTAATGGGCAGAAAGATTACCCTTGGTCATTTACTGCCTTCCTTTCCTTCTTTCTTGAAAACACAGCCATTTTCCTCTTGCTTCCTGTGCAGGTGGACGTGTTCTCCGTCAAAGCCATTGACCTGGGAGAGCTGAAGAAGCTGCGGATCCGCCACGACAACTCTGGCAACAGGCCCAGCTGGTTCCTGGAGAGGGTAGAGATCACTGACCTCAAAGAGAGCACCACGTGAGGATCCTCTTGTGCCCTTTCCGTGCGGTCAGGAATGGGGCCGCGTTCTCAGGAGCCTGCAGAGCCCTGGAGAGGAGGAGGAGATGCTGATGGGCATCACTGCAGAACCTCAA